GTGAAAAAATAAGCATGAGAGGGAGAACTAAGTGGTTCTGAGGTATCATCAGAGTGCTCAGCATCCCAGGTGGGACTGGGGATCCCTGGAGCTCAGACATCTTTATTCAACTACCATCATCTTCAGCCCACCAGACAAAACGTACTGCCTGATTAACCCTTAGGGAAACTCCAGCAGAAGAAACACAGAGCCTGTGTACAAGCATCCAGACATGTTTAGTGAAAATTACCCCAATCCAGGGGCATTTGGCTGCTTCTCATCCCCAGCCTTTGCTTCTGCCGCAGCCTCTGCCCTGCTTGCCTCACACCAACCCACTGCTCTCACCTGTGGGCTCATCCAGGACAACCCTGGTCCTGGGCATATTTTTAGGAAGCGTCCTCCTGCATGGGTTGGTGTCTGTGCAGGTTGGCTGCGGTGCCCACCCTCCTCTCTATGGGCAGCTCTCTGCAGCCTGCATCCCACTTCTCTAACTGCTGCTCTTGCTCCAGCGCTGCATGGATAGTCCTGCCAGGGCACACAGGGCATGCATGGCCCAGCACAGCCCAGGCAGGGTGCTGATCTCTGGCACAGCCCCTGCCACAAGCCTCCCTGGGATCCCGTGCTGGTGCTGCTGGTGCTGACAAGGTGGGATGCTTCCCTGTACTTTTCCACGCTTGGTGCCACTCGGCTGGCACACCAGCACTGGGAAATCGCTGTGTTTTTGTCAAGGATCAACTCTACCCCAAGCTGAGGGGTCCCTGAGTGAAGCCTCCATGCAGTTCTCCTCTTGTTAAGGCCCAGTAAATGCTTTTGGGAGTATGGTTCATATTGGTGCCCAGTCCCAGAGTGTGCCAGCAGCTGATCCAGGGTGGCCTGTCCCCTGGGGATGCTCCACTCGCTGCCAGCCTCCCCAGCAAGCAAAGCCAGAGGGTGGCTCCCTGTACCCAGGGCTGCCTTTGCTGCCAGACTTCTTAGCAAACCTCTGGTGGCTCTACCCTGGCCATGACCAAAGTCAGAGAAAGCAACATCCCCTCCACTGTCATCTGCAGTACACTAAGAAAATGAGAGCCAGTTAAAGTCCATCCCCTCCCAGGCACTGCTGGTCTCCAGCAAACTGCTGACATGACCTATTCAGCAGCACTGGTAGGAAGGTGGACTTTCCTGCCCTACGGACACCCAGGTTGAGATGGGTTTGGGCTTGCTCAGGTTTGCACTTGCTGGACTAAAATAAATGAAGTGGTTTAATTGCACAGGATGTGTTAATTCGATTATTTTTCCTTTTCCATTCCCTGTTAAAAGCTTGGCTCAGGCAGTGCCTTTCCTTGCAGACCTGCTCCTGCACTACACACCATGGGAGGATGCCGGAATGGGATGGGAACTAGCAAAGCAGGAAGGGCTCCTCTGTGCCCACACCACCCCATCAACCCGCACTGATTGGAAGGTCCCTGGAGCACCAAAACCTCTCCTGTTTCCTGAGGCAGGCAAGCTGCAAAGACACATAGCCTCCCATTAACCTCCACCTGTGAGTACTTTCTGGAAGGCAGCCAAGAACAGTAAAACCTGGGAAATCTGCAAAATAAACAGCGGTCAAAGAAGAGACCTCGGCTCCTGCTCCAGAGGGCCAGTGCCAAGACACACAGATCATATCAGACTAATTTACAAACGGAAAACCACTCTAATTAGTGCTCAGGAAAGCACTTTAATGAGAAGCACGCTGGTGCAAAAAGCAAGAGTGCCAAGAGGTCACTGCATTCCTGAGTACTGGAAAAACAGGAAATGGGGCAGAGCCCGCCCAGGCTGCAGCACCGTTTTCTCCTTTTTTGAACTAATATTTCAGGTTATTAAGCCCAGAGCCTAATGCTCAGTGTAAGGGCAGAGACACTGGACGCAACCAGCTCTGAGCATTGGCCAGCTCACACTGGGGAGGGTTGGGCAGCCCCTGCACATATCTCCTCTCTTTGGGGCATAGTGTAGGTTTGGAGATTTCCCTTGGGAAGGGGAGACCAGAAGCCCTGTCAATGATATGAGTCCTGTCTCACCGGTGGCTGTGACAGTGGCTGGTAACCATGGCAACACAGAGATTCCTGCAGCACAAAAGAGCCTCTTATCTGCAATGAGTAACTGATCCAGCTGGTCTTCATTCCTCTGGTTATTGCTAAGACAGAGAAGCACAGCCACGTGGTGCTCGCCCCAGAGTGAATTTGGACCATCCACTGGCCAGGAGGTAAAGGACATTCTAGAATTATAGAATCCCAGACTGGTTTGGATTGGAAGGGACCTCAAAGCTCATCCAGTTCCAACCACCTGACACAGGCAGGGACCCCCTCCACTAGACCAGATTGCTCCATGCCCTGTGCAACCTAGCCTTGGGCACTGCCAGGGATGGGGCAGCCACAGCTTCTCTGGGCAACCTGTGCCAGGGCCTCAGCACCCTCACAGGGAAGAACTTCTGCCTAAGAGCTCATCTCAGTCTCCCCTCTGTCAGGTTAAAGCCATTCCCCCTTGTCCTGTCCTTACAGGCCCTTGTCCAAAGCCCCTCTCCAGGTTTCTTGTTGCCCCCATAAAAATGTCATTCAGCCAGCACTAAGCCTGCTGTTAACAAACACTGGTGTGAGAGCCCATTAGGGTGTGTACCACTGCGTGACCCCTTCTGAAATGGAAGTCTGTGTTTTTAACTCAGAATGTTAGCTCCAGTGAGACCATCACTGCACTGAAAAGGAGCTGTGTGCTCAGGGCAGAGAAAACCAAACTCTTATTAGCTCAAATTTAGAGGAAGGCAAAAAGGGAATCAGGGGGATTTAATTGCAGCTGTGATCAAGGCAGATCTACACAACACAAAAAGTATATATAAGCAGAAGAAGTGGTTTACAGACAGTTCTCAGAATTAGAAGCATGTCCTTCTGGTTAAGGTCTCCAGGTTTCAAAGGTTAAAGTGGTCAATTTTATTTCAAACTTTCCAATTAAACACCATTTCACTGGACTTTCTGTTTATGCTGCAATTTCTTTCTAGACCTGAGTCTAATCCCCAAACCTGGTTATTTGTTTTACTTTCCTTACAACCTTATCAGTGATTAACCTGCAATTGCTCTTAATCTTTTTAAGAGATTGTTCTGCCTATAAATACAGAGAAGCTGCCTGCCCCATTTCTATCCAGAGGAAAACAACTTCCTCCACTGTCAGATGTCTGTGGTGGATTATATTATTCCTTTCATAAGTTGATTGTTTAATCAGAGTTGTTTGTCTTCCCTCACCTCACACAGAACATTAAATTAGTGTCACTGTTCTGAAAAATGTAACAGCACAGGTCACGAGGAATATGAATACACCCTCAGTATCAAAAATGTATATATATGTATAAAAGCATATATATAAATATATATATTAAACAGTATATATGAAGCCTCCAGTAAAGATGACTGTGATAGTAACTACATGTGATAGTGAGACAAAACTTAACACATTCATACAAACCCATCAACAGCATGCTCTTCTTCCATCAGCAGTTCTCTATTCCACTTACTTCACTCAAAAGCAGCAAGAGCTAAAATATCATTGCAGGAAAACCTGGTTTCTATGGCTATGGACCTCTGAGAAATCCGTTAATCAGAAATATAAGGCAGATGGAAGACTGCAATGCAGAACTTCCAGGGTGCTGGACTGGCAAGTGCCTCGTGAGATCCCCCAAATACTCCATTAATATTATTAGAGGATCTCATATCATATCAGTCCAATACTTAAGGATATTGAAGTGGAGTGAGCAAAAGCTAATAAGAAATGCAGTGAAGGTACATGGAACATTACCAAATCAATCAGGAACATTCCAAGGGCAGTGGAAGGAACAGACCTCTTTTATTTTATAGGAACCAATCTGAAGGAAGCCCATGGCAAATATAGTAAAACTAAGAGGAATGGATTTACAAAATCCAGCAGAAAGCCAATTTATTATGACCCCCCAAATAAGAGGCACTAAATGAGATGCCCATCTCCTCAGCCTGTCATTTCTACAGAGCCCCCACAGCAAATACACCTGAGCACGTCTCCAACCCAGGCTGTAAGCCCAGCCATGCCTTGACCTTAATTGTTACCTGGAGAATAATCTTCCTAAAGAACTAAAGCCATAAATAGATAGCAGAGGAGGATAATTTCAAATCTCCCTACAGCTCCAGAATTACCAGTTATGTATCCATTACCATCTAATGCTGCATGTTGAAAACCAAGACCTTCACACAAGTATGTGCCATCTAAGAAAGCCCTTTTTCCCCCTCTTTCTGGTGATGAAAATAGTATTACAGTTCCATTGTAATACTACAGTTCTAAGACTCTAACTGGTTTATTGGGAAATCTGTGAACCACACGTGGGGACTTGCCTTGGCTCCACAGGGAGCAGAATGATGGGAAACAACTGAAGTTTTGAAATAAAGCCACAGCAAAAGCATGGTAATCTACATGGTGTTTATTGTAGACACAGTGAATTATAAAAGCCATTACAGCCTACTATTTATTTAAACACTTTTTCTAACCCATATCAAATCAGAACAGCAGCTCAACTTCTGCAGGTTTCCTGTTTTTATTATATAAATATTTATATAGTGGGAGGGGAAAAAAAAAGCTTTGCATTTTGCACTGAAACCTTCTACCCAGCAGGAAACCACTTGCAAATGACTGAGGATGAAAAATATTTAGGGAGGTTTGGGTGAGTCCAGGTTCTCCCCTGCAATGTGAAGGGCAGTGATGTCTTCAGACCCTTCTGCAGTGTATTAGAGCTCATTAAATTTGTTTAAAAGACAGCAAGCTAGCGTTAATTAGCACTAACATATATTCTGGTTTCTTCCCACACAGAAACCCATCTGTTTTCCAAGGGAGGGCAAAAAAAGCACACAGCTTTTTAAGAGAACCCTGAAGGAGGTGAAGATCAGCCCCAGGTTGCTGGTGGGAACAGACATCACCCAATGCTTCACAAGCACCCTGGCTGCTCCGTGGAACGACCTGTGGAACTTGCAGCACTGGTGCAAACACTCATAGTGTTTGCTGGGAATTCCCTCAGCTGTGGTGCTGGGACTGCTCCCTGTGGCAAAATCTGCCCCTGCTTCTCCTCAAGAGGGTGGAAACAGGCTCCTCTTGACAGAGCCAGCGGTGCCAGTTGGAGATGTGGCCAGTGAAACCTTGGGGTGGATCTGCATCATCCCCATGTGTGGTGGCACTGTCTCACTCACCGCTTCTTGCCACTTCTCAGCTCACAGGAAGCTTGCTCCACTTGGTTCTGGGTTTGAGGAAGATGGGGAACTGATGGTGCTGGGGGAAGACTGTACACCTTGAGCTGTCAGCTGGGCAAGCTGGCTGCTAGCCAGGTGTTCACCTTTCCATCCAGCACCCTTGGGAAAGTGCCTTCACAAGTGCCCTGTTGCAGTCAAGAGCAAGACCAGAGTCTTGCTTCTTCATGGCTTCTCCTCAGAAAATGTGGCCAAGAGTCAACCAAGTGACCAAAAAGGCTGGAAATTGGCTGCTGGAGATATTGTAGGTCACTGAGGTTCAGCAATGAGGCAGGGGACCACCTGCACACTTGTGCACTCTTGCTTACACACTATGGGCTCTGACCTGACTCTGAAACACTGGCTGAGAGAGGAGAGCACATTCTGCACTGCACTTCCCTGACCCAGCTGTAAACCAATAGGGTTTCTCCTTTCCTGCACTCAGTTTATCCCTCCCAGCTGGTGCACCTATGGGAACCCAGTGATCTCCAGAAACACCTTCTCATCCAAGATTGTGCTTTTCCATCCGTGAAAGGTACTCATCACATCTCTCCATAACAGCCACCAGCTATGGAGAGCCCATCTCCTCTCTGGGATGAATGGTTGGTAGGAAATCCTCTTCCCAACAGGAAACCCAAGGCAGTCTTGGCACCACACAGGGACCCTCAAGCATCTTGCAGTCCATGCACACAAGGACAGACCTCGGTGGTGTTGTGACAGTGGATCTGTGCTCGGCCTGTGAGCATAGTCCACATCCTTCTTGAATTAATCACTCTCCATCTGCTCCTGACTACCTTAAGCCCAAGAGAGAAACCTTGTTGTTTATCTCCCCTGGTTGCTTTGGACCAAGCTGTGACTCAGCTGTCAGAGGCAAAGAATTCTTCACGCTTCACCTGAATACTCATTAACAACCCAGAGCCATAAAAAGCAATTTCTTCAGGGCTCCCTCTCTGCAAGGCTGGATTTCGAAGCAAGAGGGCTGGCCTGAGGCTTAGTGGGAATATTCATAAAGATGCTCAGGTTTCAGAGCTCAGAAACCTTGTATGATTTTGGGTCATATGGCAGAGGGTTTTATCAACATTGAGTGAAGGTCTAGGCTGAAAGGAAATGCAGATCCTACCCGCAGCACCTAGCGAAGCCTACAGCTACAGCTCCTAACTCCTGCCTCAGGACATGCTTGGTTCTCATTTATCTTTTTTTTCCTCTTCTTGCCCTGAAATCTCAGCAGCAAGGATCTCTTCGTCTTCTTGTGCTGTGGAAATCACACGAATAGTGACTAAACTATCAGATGATTTAGAGAATATTTCTTCTCCCAGGTGGGTGCGTACTTTGTGGGAGATGACAGGTGACCTCTGATGCACTGGTGATTTTGGCGGGGTTGGACTTAATCTGGAATCCTGTGATCCAAGGAAATAAACAAACAAGAGAAAGGCAGAATGAAGCTTAGCAGACCCTTGTCCACTCCCACAGCCATGGCATCAGTGATGTGCAAAGCCAGTGTTTTGTGGAGCTTCACCACACTGGACCTCACATCAGGATGTCAGCTTGCTGCCAAGTATGATCTCTGAGACAAGGGCAGCTGAAATCTATCCTGCACATCTTGAGAGATGAGTGCAGCAAAGCTTTACTACACCTCCTGACCTTGTTTTGCTCATGAAGCACCTAGGCGGCTGATTTACACAAAAGCTTGTCAGAAGTACTGCTGTGAGCAGCCCTGTCCTAAGGCCTCCTTTGGAGAGGAGCTTCAGAAACCTTACTAACAGATGTGCCACAGAGAGGGGTGTCCTTCTAGCAGGGTCCTCCTAAACCCATTAGAAGGGTTAGCTCCTAATACGGATCTTGTTGCCACTAGCACATGAAGCACACAGTGCCACTGTTCATTGCTGCCTTCGACTGGTTGTTAGTGCTGAGCACTCTGTTGTGTGAAGCCTCTGTAGAGGCGCAGATATGCTCAGCATCTACCTGGGTATGGGCATCTACCAGGCCATAGCATGCTCCATATCAGCTGCTCTTTCACCTCCCTTTACACCCCAGATAGTCTTCGTAACTCCATGCTGATAAGAGCCACAATAAGGTCTGCATGGAGATACAGTCTCTTTTACGAGTTTAAAAGAGACATTTGGAAGAAAGGAAAGAAAAAAATAGAGCAGGGCCATGTTCTCTTTCGGTTGCTTATGACAAACCAGCAAAGGGGTTTTTCAAGGCAGCTCCTGCAGATCTGGCAGGCCAGTGTGTCTGCTGCTGGGGGCTCTGCCACTGCCGTGCTGCCAGAGCTTTGCAAATATTGATTGAATGTCAAATATTATGGGTGCTGGATGCCAGCATCACCCCTGTCCTGCCAGCACATCCGTTCCCTATGACTGGCTCTGTCTCTGCGGCACAGAAGATATGTGCATCTGTGGCTATAGCTCAGCTGGAAATTAGGCTAAGGCTTAGCATAGCTGGGCAAAAAGTCAATGTATTTCCCTTTTGTGCTGCAAAACAACCCCCTGTGGGACAACAGCATTCTCCCAAAGCCATGTGTGAGATGCTGAACCCCCCCCTTCCTGTCTGCCCACACCACCTCAGACCCCAATAACCTGAGCTCACTCCTTTAAGGCACCTTGACCACACTCATCCTCCCCATGCTGACCTGCATCGCCTGCATTGCCTTCAGCTCCCTCAGCCTCCAGCGGAGCTGTGCCAGCGGCCCTTTGCCCCCCATCCTCCCTGCTGCAGCCAGAGCAGCCTGGAAGAGCTTTGGGGTGTCAGGTTTTGGCGGGATGATCAGCGAGTCTCCAGGAACTCCTTTCGCATCTTTGGGTTTATTGTTGCTTTTCAGCATTTTCCTACATCAAGGAAAAAGAGAGATGATTTCAGTCTGGGGATGTGTTATATTAGCTGGGTTTTATAATGCAGAAAAAGCAGGCTTTTTAAAAAAAAAAAGTTATTTTTTAATGACTTAGGAAGGCGGGACTAAAAATCTAAGTGGTTCTAAAACTATAAATTTTTATGTATATGAATAATTTATTTTTTAATGAATGTACATTGTTTGTTCCCAAGTTGCACTCACTTTTAGCAGTGAATCATAGAATCACCATAGGATCAAATTGGTTTGGGTTGGAAGGGACCTTAAAGCTCGTCCAGTTCCAACCCCTGCCACAGGCAGGGACACCTCCCACTAGACCAGGTTGCTCCAAGCCCCGTCCAAGCTGGCCTTGAACACTGCCAGGGATGGGGCAGCCACAGCTTCTCTGGGCAACCTGTGCCAGGGCCTCAGCACCCTCACAGGGAAGAGCTTCTGCCTAAGATCTCATCTCAATCTCCCCTCTGTCAGGTTAAAGCCATTCCCCCTTGTCCTGCCACTACAGGCCCTTGTCCAAAGCCCCTCTTCAGCAGCCTTGTAGCCCTTTTAGGTATGGGAAGGATGCTTTGCAGCAGGGCTAGGCTGGCTCTGAGCATCTCCAGGCTCCTTGCTGTGATGTAGCAGCTCCAGCCCCACTCTCCACCTGGGACTCATGCCTAATGCCTGCAGCAGGAGCTTTCCCAGGGCTTTGCACACAGAGAGATCACCCCTGTGATGTTGAAACTCCTTCTCTGTTTTACTTTGAAAACCCCATGGGCTAGAAAGCAGCAGCTCAACACGCACTTGGCTTTCTTTTTCAGCAGCTTCTGGGACTCTGGATAATGCACCAAAATCTCGTTCAAGTCCTTCTTATCCAAAATGAAAAGGTTGGCGAAGCCATGAGCAATAACGTTTGCTGTTCGGCGATTGCCCCCTCCTGCTGCCAGCAAGCTGAGAGAGACACAATGAGATGTCAATGCTGTTATTGAGCATGGCTTAAAGAAAATCTCCCTTTGCATGTCTTGATCTCTGTCGTTCAGAGGACTCAGGTTTAATTTTCACCCCCAACGAAATACTGCAAGCCCAATTTTTAAACAGTGATAGAAACATTGGCAAGGAGAGCCATATAAAAAAGGATTTGCCTTTTTGAAGGTTTAAATATGGCATTTTACACTAGTCTGGTGTCTGCTGGGCTGTACGGAGGCAACCTCTGTCACTGTGCTATTAGTGCAGGACTTTACATGCTCAGGAAATGGGTGGATGGGGGTCTGGTTTAGGGAAATATGTTTTCTTGCTTATTTTCCCACCTCTCCATAAACCTCTGCTTACTGTCACTAACTCTCCAGGCAGAAAACAGCACAAAAATATACAAGATCCAAGAAAACAAGCTGTAATTTGTGTAGCAGACACTACTCAGTGTTCGTGGCTCTCAGTCACAGGGATTAACTATGGTGCTGCTGATCTCTCCACTTCCCACCTTCCTCACCCAGAGCCCACAAGCTGTATTCCCCTGGCTCCATGGGAATGCTTCACTCACCTTATCTCTCCAAACACAGATCCAGGTTTCAGAGTCACCAGCACAGTTTTGCCATCAGGTCCCCCCAGCACCTGCACATGTCCCGCCTGGATAATGTACATCTCACGGCCAATTTCTCCCTGCAATGAAGATAGGTGCTGTGTGGGGTGCCCACAAACAGGGAGAATTTATGGGTGCCCTAACCTGTGTCTTGCTGGAAACCCCCATGACCATGCTGCCCTCTCCAAACTCTCCAAATGCTTTTTCCTGATGGTGCTCACTCCTGAGCATCCTCATCTAAGCATCCCAAAATCTCTCCCTGCTCTCCTGGTGTTCATGGCTGCAGCAGAAGAGGTCAGATTTTGCACAAGACCAGCTGCAAAGGAGGATGGTTTTGCTCTGTGAAGTGGCTCAATGCCATGGTGATGGGCCAGGCCTCCTTGCTTTCCCCCACTCTGCACTGCTCCTAGCGCAGGCTAGTGCTCCTGTATAGCCCAGCCATGACACTGGGGATTGGAAGGCATTTTAGCATCTCATTACCTTCTTACACACATAGTCATTGGGCAGATAGACCACGGATCTGAGCCGCTTCAGCATGTCAAAGATCATCTGCCTGTCGCAGCCCTTAGCAGAAACAAAGCCAGCAGCATGGTTAGTCTGTGCCAGCATGGCAGGCTGTGCCAGGCAGAAACCACGCTGCAGGAGCTACCTGGAAGAGAGCCACTTTGCTCACGATGCTGTAGTTCACATCAATAGCGATGTCCAGCCTCATCTTGTCTGGCAGCTGCACCAGCAGCTCTGACTCATCTGTGGGAGAAAGCAGAACACTGGATCTTTCCCACATTTATCCCAGATCATGCCCTTGGTGTGGCAGTGGGAAAGCAGCCCATGTTCTGGTGGCAGAGGACAGGAACAGGCTTGCCCAGAAGGGTCTTCTGTGGCTTCTACCAACCAAGCAACTTGCAGGTCTAAAGCCAGTGAGTGATGGAGAGCTGCCCTTCACGTTATTTCTGCCATGATGGCTCTTGGACACAGACCAATGAGTCCAAGCTGCATCTTTCTTGGCCAGGATGGTGGTTGCAGCGGTCCTGCCTGAACAGCTACAGGTTGGGCAGAGACATCCTGCAGAGCAGCTCTGCAGAGAAGAACTTAGGGGTGTTGGGTGATGAGAAGCTCCCCATGACCTGGCTTCAGCGTGCGCTTCAGCCCAGATCCCCCAGTGTCCTGGGCTGCATCCCCAGAGCATGAGCAGCAGCTCGAGGGAGGGGATTCTCCCCCTCTGCTGTGCTCTGGGGAGACCCCCCACCCCCCCTTGCAGTCCTGCATCCAGCTCTGGGACAACAACACAAGAGGGACGTGGAGCTGTTGGAGCAAGTCCAGAGGAGCCCATGGAGATGCTGCGAGGGCTGGAGCAGCTCTGCTCTGGAGACAGGCTGAGAGAGCTGGGCTGGTTCAGCCTGGGGAAGACAAGGCTCCTTAAGGGGAGACCTTAGAGCAGCCTTCCAGTATCTGAAGGGGGTCTACAGTGACGGTGGAGAGGGACTCTTCATCAGGGACTGCACTGATAGGGCCCAAGTGATAGGGTTTAAACTGAAACAGGGGAGATTTAGGTTAGATATAAGGAATTTTTTTTCCCTGTGAGGGTGCTGAGGCCCTGGCAGAGGTTGCCCAGAGAAGTTGTGGCTGCCCCATCCCTGGCAGTGTTCAAGGCCAGGGACTTGGAGAAACGTGGTCTAGTGGAAGGTGTCCCTGCCTTTAGCAGGGGGTTGAAACTGAATGATTCTGCGTTTTTATGAATTACTATTCAGGTGGGCTTATGGGTTTGCTGTTAGACACTCTCTGGCCAGCAATTGCTAGTCACAGCCCACTCCCCAGAGACCAGCTGGTGGGATGCTGGACTTGGTGCCCTATGGGTGATGCACAACCTGATGGCAGCCTAGATACTATATAGGTGGGCAAACAAGAGTAAAATAAGCCACCCCCTCCCCATGACCACAGTGCTATTTGACAGTAACATTTCAGCTCTGTACAGCAACAGCAGTGCATGTGTGGGTCCTCGGAGTAGCTGGAGCTCACCTAGCATGCCTTGCGAATGCCATGTGTACTCGTACCACGTTTTCACCCTGTTCTGAACAGTTTTGGGGATTTTGTAGAAGTTCATGTACTTAATGGTACTGTCCATGCAGCTCCGATAGTATGTTTGCCCCGCGGTAGCGGCACCGACCACATCTCTCATCTGAATGGGAGGAAGAGGTGGAAGAGATGTTTTAGTTGCTGTCACTTACCTGTCAGCCTGTTAAGCAATCTAGAGCATGTTTGCTGAGTCCTAACAGCATCTGCCAAACCCTTTTTGTCTTCCACAGATGCTGAGCAGGTCCTCGATGGGGAAAACAAACCCAGAGACGCAAACCTATGGACCAACCCCACCAAAACCTTCCCCAGTGGAGGCTGGGAGTCCCCGGGACTCCTGCTCACCTGCCCTATCATGACGGAGAAAGCAAAGACACCCGTGAAGTAGTTCAGCAGCTGGAAGACGATCTCAAACAGTGTCTTGGGGTCCGGCAGGCCCCCAATGGTGATGAGGGTTTTGACTGCCCAGTAGTAGCAGCGGATGTAGCTGGGAGGAAAAGAGGAGGCAGTTTTGAAGGTATTTCTGGCATGAAGGCCTGTTTCTCCCCTCACTACCGAGCTCACATCCTCTGGCCATGGCAAGCCAGAGCCTGCTGAGAGTAATTACGGGTGACAAGGGGAAAATCAAGGGGCTGCAAACTCTCCACCACACCCACAGGTGCTTCTGCAGATGCTACAGGAGCAGGAGCATGTAGGGACCCCTCCAGAAACCTCAGAATGGGAGGCTCAGCTGCTCTGGCTACTCCCATTCTCTGCTCTTACAGCTCCACTACCATAAACCAGCAACATTTTTTCAGCAACGTTTACACTTTTAGAAAGAGGCGGGGGAGGGGGAAAGAATTTGTGAGCAACTTGTTGGCATGGGACTCCAGAGGTGTCAAGTGGAATCTTGATTCACTGGTCTTGGGCACTCCCTTGGATGCTATAGTTGCACTTAGAGATAGATACAGATGTGTATATCATACCAAATAGCTATATAACAGCAACGTTAACATGTTGAGCTGAGTGCTTGAAGGGAAGGCAACACCCTTACTAGGGCTGCAGGGGTGACAGTCACTTGTCCCCAACTACACCCACACCTCGCAGTAAGTCTGTAATGCACTTGCCCATGCCTTTTTGCAGGAAACTCTCATTTGAATGTTACTCAGGATCATATTATGCCTGTGTTGTGTAACAGTCAGTGTAGGCATTTGCTATGAGGTGGTGCTCAGCTCATGAGCTAAGTGCTCTTCCTGTGGCACCCATCACTCACAACACAACAGACCTTTAATATGCATATCTTGGAAATGCCATGGTGAGGGGTGGCCACTGTCCCTGTCTCACACCCTGGGGATGAGAGCGATGGTCTTGTCTGAGGGCTTGACACAGGGCACCAAGGACACACAGCGTTAAGCCTGGCAGCAGGTCAACAGGAGCAGATCTGTCCCTCACATCCTGCTCAGCCAGGGATCATTCTCTTGCTTCCCAGCATCAGGTTCTCAGTTTTTCAGTCTTTTCAACCTGCCATTGTCTCCTATCTCAGCCTAACTGCCGCCTCTTTATCTTGCAGCATTTTATATTACTGCACATCCCACCCTTCCTGTCCCCATCATTCTCCCTGGCTCCACATCACCTGGTACCTGCAACCCATTTCTTTGTTGTTTTTTTTTTTTATGAAGCCAGCTGCATCCAAACACCTCCCTTCTTACTCCAGCTCATCACAGCAATCTGTGCTATGTGAGGACCCAAGCCCTGGCTGGTACCTGTTTCCTTCCCCGTCATAGACCCAGGTGGTAGAGCCCAGTCCTTCATAGGCTGATGCCCAGTAATAGAGGCAGGAGTTCACATGCAAGCTGTACAGTAAATAGGCTGTGGTCCGAATCACTCTGCAAAACAAACAAAAAAGAAGAGAACAGGAAGGGACGTGATACAGTGTCTGCTGGGAAACATGTCAGAACACCCCCAGCATCACAAGGAGCTTCTAAGCGATGAGCCGAGTGCAGGAACCACAGAGTACTCGGGTGTGCAGCCCTGCTGCTCCCTCCTGCAGCACCACAGGTTGCAGAAAAAGCAGCTTGTCCACTGGTGGCTGCTTTTCACCATTAGCAACCCAGTCACAGGGAATCCTACCCACACAGCTCCAGGACCCCACGTCCTGCCTGCATCAAGTAACACCTATATCAGCTAGGGACATTCAGGGATAGCGGGAAAATAAATCAGGAACCCAGAACGGGTGCACACCAAAGCAAGCCTTTTTTCCCAATAGCAAACAACAACTCCACAGTCTCTTCCTCCCTCTCTTTCCCTCACCTGTAGATGTATGCCTTGGTCAGGATAGCCTCCAGGCGGTTGTTGAACTCGAAGAAGGCCATGTACTGGAGAAGGAAAGCAGCATGCTTCAGCGTGCTCCATCTTCTTGTGACCCCCACCAGGAGAGTTACATTTCTGTAAGACCCCACTCCCACCTCCTGCAGTCCCTCTGCAGCTTGAACTGCCACAAACAGATTTGGTTCCATCTGAGTCCCCCTCTACTCACATGTGAGCATGTTTTAGGATTGGAAAGAAGTGTTTGACCAACAGCTCCACAAAAGCTGTTGGGACAAGACTTTCCATCCATTTCACAACCCTCTTGCGATCATCTATGACTGTAGCAAGCCACAGCTTACCCCTATCAGCATGGTACTCTACATCCACTGCAGCTGGTGTTCTGCCTGGTTTTGTAAGCTCAGACTTACCTTCAGACAGCGAGGAAAGCGCAGGAGTGGGTTGACACCAACTTTGAAGTAGAAGAAATCCAGGGGCAGGAGGCACACCATATCCATCTGAAACCCACACAAAAAGAGGAACCCCTGTGAGGACCCTCAGACATGGTTGGGGGGGGAGCTGCAAGCCACTGTTCACACTGAAGATTCAGATTTGTATGTAAAATGACATCGAACCTTAAAGCGTTGTGATCGCAGGTAGTTCTCCTTCATGGCCTTTTTATCACTCTGGTTGGGCAGAGGAAGGAGAGAGAGAGCAACGTTAATCATTGCTTACAGAAAGGAAAGTTGTGGCCAACATGGTCATGCCTGACTTTTTCTCTTCTGCAACAGGGAAGATGTTCCCTTTGTGCCCAGGAAAGGGAGCAGAGCAAGAGGAGCAGTAGAGGAAAGCCAGGCATGACCATCCTGGCCATGCCAAGAGAAGACCTGGCTGTATACCAGCTTCCCATCCCACCTTGGGACATCCCATGCTCATTTTGCATCCCAGAGAAAGTACATCACAATGCAGATCAGATTTACAAGTCTGACCATTGCTGTGGGCCATGGGAAGGCTGTACCCTGAAGGTCTGATTTTTCCCAGCTTATTTAATTGGGTATGGAAATGGATTCAGGGGCTTTCACTTATCTCTGGTGCGTGATCTGTGCATTCAGATTGCAATCGCTTTTGTCATGTTGCTAATGCATTCTGCCTAGCTGTGCTCCTTTGTATGAAACACATTTATCATGCCATCTGCTCACGGTTAGCACCACACTGTTGGGAGCACTGCTCCATGGAGCAGCATCCTCTAAGCATTCCTACAAAGGAATGGGGATGCCATGGACCTCACATGCTTTCTAGATAGGCTGGTGTTGACTTCAGAGCAAAAATGACTTTTTGACTTTAGGGCAAAAAAATTCTTCCAGCTTATCCACTACGTGGCAGGAGAGATGCTTGCAGTCCTCCAAGGGTAGACAGAGCCCTGGTGGGAAAGCTTGACTCAGAGATCATGGAGCAGCAGCACCCATGTTGGTCAGGGCGATAAGGGTCCCCCCAGCCGGTCCCCAGCACTGGGATGCAGCCCTGCCACTCACTATTATATCTCCCCCACGGACAAACTGCAGCCGGGTCTGAAAGACGAGGATGTCAAGCAGATAGATGAGGTCACAGAGGTAGTCGATGAACAGCCAGCAGTGGATGTTTGCTGGCGTCTGGTAGGGGAAAGCCCACCGGACAGGGATCAGCCAGCAGTTCCAGTTCCAGGCCATGACAACAAAGAACAACCACAGCACGTACATCAGATCTGTGGACAGGAATCACATTGCAATTAGTGGGGCCGGTGTCCATCATCTATGGGAAACCGGTACACAAAGGGCTTTTCATCCCCTTGTCCTGCCCCAAGTGCCACAGGGAAACCTGCAAGAGGTCTCTATTGAATACTGACAGCATTTAATTTCAAGTGAGCTGGGCTCTAGATGCAAAGTGAATACCACCAGCTGCAGAGCACACTGCTTTTTGCCACAAAGCCTTTTCTAATTTTGCTGAATCAAGTAGGTTTTCTTTTGCTTTGCTCTTGACTTTCTTGATTTTCTTTCCCTCCTCAGGCTGTGCTGAGCACATGGCCACCTGCCAGAGCCTGAGAGCTGTGAAATGGTTGGGAAACAGCAAAGACCCTGGAAGGAGCTCAGCTCCTGTGGGGTGTCCCCAGACAGTGGATTTTTCTGTTGTGATTTTTAGTTTTATTTTGGATGTCCACACCACAAGGACAGTGTTTGCCTAATAAAAAGCCTGAAAAGCAGCAGAAAGCTGCTGCTCCTTCTCTGCCTGCTCATGCTCCTGACACCTATAACTAAGGGGAAGTATTTAGGAAAGCCTGTGCCTTGCAGGGGAATTTAAGACTGGATTTTAGCAGACATTTGTAAGTTGGTCCTTGCTTAGTTGACCTTCCTGCTCTACAAGGTCTCATCTCTCACACCTCCTCCCCTCCTCACCCTTTCTGGCTGCCCCACCAGCCCAGTGGCTGCGCTCCATCACTCACTCGTGAGTGGGTCAATGCTGCTGGGGAACTGGTAGTTTCTCAGGAGGTCCAGCCAGGGCCGGTACTTGAACGTGCAGCACAGCATCTCGCAGTAGTGCTCCTCTTCTGCCACCTTCTCCCCCTCTGGCTGCGCTCCTGGGGGAGGGACTCGTGCTGCTGGCAGTGCCGGCTTGGCGGGAGCTGGGAGAGGCCACACAGTTATTTGAAAGAGCAGAAAACCTTCTTGCTGCAATGTGTTAACCTGTTAAAAAGGTTAAAACACAGCATGTGTGGGGACTAAGCCCCACTCGAACTCACATGCCATTGGGCTCTCTTCATCTGAGGTGATGTCGGGGTCGGTCAGCTTTTCCTTCACCTTCTCGGTCCTCTCCTTGAAGAGCCTCACCAGCTCCTGGAGCCGGTTGTTGATGACAGCACTGCTCAGGCTTGTGGCTGAACCAATGCGCTCGGGCAGGCTGTGGGCAAACCACCAGGCATCTCATGTAGGTAGGAAAGGTCAAGGGCAGGTTCATGACCCATTTTTAACCTACAGGATTCTGGTTTAGGATTTACCCATATTTATTTGATTATTGTGTGATCAGAAGAACACAAGCTAAGGTGGTTTCAGTAAGATGCTGTCAAACAGCACCACCCCAAACTTCATTCTCGCCCTCAGAAGGACTTAAGAAGCACCAAGATCCCATGCTGGATTGCATTTGATTAGGAGAGGATGATTTTGGAAGAACTACGAGATGAAAATACGCACCAAGCCCCTGAATTTACAAACTGTATTGTCTCTTTTCAGCCTCTTTATTAAAACCAGGTTGTGAGTGCTCTATCCCTGGCAGTATTCAAGGCCAGGTTGGATGGGGCTTGAAGCAACCTGGTGTAGTGGAAGGTGTCCCTGCCTGTGGCAGGGGATTGGAACTGGATGGGCTTCCAACCCACACAATTCGAGGATTCCATGATACTATGATTGATTCAAACCAGGATGCTCACCTAGCATGGCCAAGGACCAACACTAAGAGGGAGGACAGAAATAAGCCTGCTTGCTGTAGCTCCAGGCTGGTTCATTGTGTTACGTGGCACAATGATTTCTTCTCAGGAAGAAAGAAAATCCCTGCTCTATGAGGAGGTGTAGGCCTTCCCCAAGCCTTTACTTCCCAGAGAAGGCAGCTCCCTCTCCCTTTGATATCCCAGGACTCCTAGGGTCTTTGCGGTTTCCATCAGAGCACTGGGATCTGAACCCCTGGGGCTGATCAGAAGCCTCTCAGCCCCACGACACACCTTTCCTTCTGCTTCTCATCACAGCCCAGCAGTGCTTGGTTTGGGGACTGGCTCATGGGTCCCTCCTCCAGACCATCCTCAGGGGCCAGCAGCTTCCTCCTGTGGTCACAAACACAGCAGCTGAGGCTTAGATTCTCCCCCATCCTCATCCAGCTCCTCTTCCTCCTCCCAGGTCTCATCTATTTTCCACTTTCCCTTCTCCAACTGGGGTCAGTGTTCCCCCATTGTTTGGCATTGCCTGAAGTAAATGAGAGCAAACTACTCTGCTCTTTTGCTGCTAAACCCCTGTTTCTTCCTGGGAACCATGCAGACCATTTTTCAACCCATTTTGGGCACCCAGCAAGATGCACAGAAGACAGGCACCAGTCTGTACTTGTCCCCTCTGCTGCACCATCACACCACTGTACTTTGAGAAGAGGGCAAGGGAAATGCAATAGCAGTAAGGTGGAGCAAGGAAATTAAACTGGAAAAAAGAGAAGGTTCTGGGGACACTGCCTAGCTCTGAGATGGCTCCGTAGGACCTGAAATCCCCAAGACAAAGTGAATTGCAGAACAGCAGGTACATAACATGGACCCTTCAATTGCTGCTGATACCTCCAAAGCCAAGTGTAAAGTTCAACTTGCTGAGAGCGGCTTCAAGAGGTTCACAAGGAGCCCTATGAACATTGTCTTGCTGACGCTGAGGCAGTGGCAGCTGATGTCTTCCTGGAAGATGTGTGCTAACACAGCTGGTGGCTCCCTTTGGTACAGACAGCTTTCAGGGACAACTTCCTTAATTGTGGGTGATCAAAGTGGCAGAAGGAAGAGGTGGATGTGAAGGTGACAATCATGGCAAAAATCTGGACTGCAGCCTGCAGCCAAGTCCAGAGTTGTAACTGCAACAACAGAAATTGTCTTCTGCCACCACAACAGCTGCTCTAAATTAACCAGGATCTCACTGATGCTGGTGCAAAATGGCTCAGCGTGCACGTGAAGCAGGTGCAAGCAGGATCCTGAGGGAGGTCATCCTGCCACCACAGATCTCCTGAAGAAAGCTGGATGTTATGAACCCACCCATCTCCAACCTCACCTGCTCTTGGGCATGCCCTGCTGGGAAGGGGAGCAGATGAACAAGCCCAACCCCCATGTCAAAGCACCCTCAGACATGGATGGAGCGGTTCCCAAACCCACATAATTTAAAAGTCCTGCTAAGATCTGTGATGTTGTTAGGACATCATCCATCACCTCTCATCGGTCTCCAGCCACTCTCCCCCTGGCTCTGTCCCATTGAGGCATCATGCTGCCCCATTGCCCATCATCATCCACAAGCAAGCCCAAGATGCCTACATCGACAGCTTAATGGCCTCTTGCTCTATAATGAGGACCCTGCAGAAAGGGTAACGCCACCTCCCTCCTGGCCTGTGGCATGACTCCCCATAGGCCACAGAGCTCATGTGGTTGCCCTCCAAGTACATGCAAAGTTTTATGTGTCAACATCCATGTGGGAAAAGATGCCTCTTTTTGCTTCAGATTAATGGATGTAAAAGACAACAAACATCCCCAAGAAGGCAAGCATTTCCTTCTGGTTCAGAAGGCTGAAATTTTACTTTTTGATGTAGCAAAATAGGAGGTGATTGCTTTTAAACATCTCCAGCTCAAGGAAGGGACCTCCAGTGTTGTCTTGAGAGATACTACCTAGAGGCACAGCAGAAAGTTTCATGTGCTCATACATGTAATTGCAAATATACAACCTGCTTTAAGAAACTGGTAGAAAATAGCATGAGAGAACTGAGGTGCTCCAAAAAAATGGCTCTGTGGGGAACCATAGGAGCATAGAAAGTTTCTTTGAAGACCCAACCTCCCCTCTGTCAGGTTAAAGCCATTCCCCCTTGTCTCGATCCTACAGGCCTTGTCAAAAGTCTTTCTCCATCTTTCTTATAAGCCTTCCCTTACATATCAAAAGGCCACAATGAGACCTTGATAAAAGACTTAATAAAAAAAGTATGCTGGGGACAGAATTGTACATAGGCAAGTGGTTTTAAATAAACTAAGGTTGTGCCTCTGGGTTGCTGGATCATGGGCTCCAAAGATGCCCAAGATGTTCTGGGATGCATGACATGGGTGTTAATATGAATTGTCTATTTTCTATGCTGGTTGAAGCCATAACAGAAAGCCAGTACCTTGATCCTGATTCAGAGGTAGATGAATATCTGCAGCAAAGTCACACATCCCAGGGAGAGAGGACTTACACAGCCTCACCTGGTGGACTTCTCCATCTCAGAAGAATACCCTGCCCTATTCATTAATCCTTCACCTCTCTGAGTATCCTTGATCTGAAGGCACAAACCTAAAGGGGATATGCTGCAATTTTTTCCAGGAAACATAGAAGGAGATAAGTGTTGGGATTTATGACGAAGGGCCATAGGCAGCACACAGACCCTCTGCACTATGAATTTGGGAGCACAGATGTGTGGGACAAAAATGGGATCTGACCACAGGCTGGGGATCGAGCCCACCTCCAGGAGGACACACAGACAGGGCTTACTGTCCAAACCGGCCAGGAGCGGGCTGCTCCATACAGTTGTACGAAATCTCCTGCACTGGCATTGTTCAGGAGTTAAAGCCCCGGGACCCACCCATGTGTCGGGGCAGAGCCATACCTGGGGGATGCTGGAGCCACTCTGGGCACCGCCAGCATGTTACTGGCAGCGGTGGGCACTGGTAAGCGGCTCCCATTGTCCTCTACAGTGTTACTTCTACTGTCCACATTCTTGATGTCCACAGTGGGGTAATTACCTGGCCCGTGAAGAAGGACAATAATGGCAGGTGAGAAGGGTGCAGGCCCAGAACCCCCAAAGCCCATTGCCTCCATGGAGCTGCCTCCAAACCTCACAACATTCCAGAAGGCCTCTCCTTTCCCCCCATTCCCTTCTCAACTGGCACTCCTTTCTCCTAGTGCTTTCTAGCATTTCTCTATCCTTTCCCCCACTTGCTCCCCTTCTGCTTACCCAGCTTGCAGTGATTGTAACTACTCTGTTCAAGCATTGGGTTCCCATGATTTGGAACACGATGGAGACAAGGATTACCAGCTGCAGGTGTCAGACAGGAACCCAGGATTTCCAGTTGCAAACCTCCCTCCGGGGTCTTCTGAACATAAACATATGGATCATGCAAGCTCCTAATTACATGAGCATTTGCTTTTCATGCAGAATAAGGGACTATATAAATAAGCACTTATGGTCTCTCTTTTGCAGAGGTGATATCTGCTTCTAACCTGCAGGTTTAGAAGAAGGAAGGTTGGATGTTTATAGTGGGGAAAAGAGAGATACCAATTGCCTGAGGGGGAAACGGTGCTGGGGGTTATCTTGGCCAGACCCCACAGCCAGCCAGACTGCAAAATGTCATCTCTTTTCTTAGCTATACAACCAAATACAGTGAGTTTCTTCAGGATTCCTTCAGGGGGGAGGGGGGGTTCACACATCTGAAAGACCCCACGCATCCCCTCCTGTCCCACACAATATGGGACCAGTGGATCAGAGCACAGTTCTACCAAATCACAAAGACCTATTTCGGGTTCAAAGTTAAAATCATATTGCATGTAAGGAAAAGCTGCGGAATTTGGCTCGCTGATTAAAACAAGGCAAAGCAAAGCTACAGAATTTGTACTTCTGGGTTAAGCCATGAAGAGCAAACCTCCATCCTGCTGTCCTCTTAGTAAGAGTGGGTTGCATGGATGCTAAGGAGAAAACTCTGCATTCAGCAGATCTTTAACCCTCTGCCAGCATTTCCTTCAGGAGAATTTTTGGCCAAGCAAATTCAAAAGTATAACACGTCATTTATGGGTATCTGCAAATGCCCTCTAGGGGTTAGCTGGAAAGGCACATAGTGATGAAGCAGAAGCAGAAAAAGCATGAATTCTATTATCCCGCTTCTGTGCTGCAACATTAAGTGAGCTTTGACTATGTTTCTTCACCAAAAAGCAAGTACTACAGGAATACCTCCTTGCCCCCTCAAGCTATGCAAGCTCATCTTCAAAGCCAACATCTCTAATACCTAGGGGAGGTTGCTCCTCATGGCAAAAGTTGGGCTTGACAGCTGCAGCCTTGGGCTTGCTGGCAACAAAGGCTGGGATGCAGGAGGCAGCGGTGGCTCGGTAGCTGGGGACATTGGGGAGCTGCTCTAGCTCACCGCGGCCGGGAGGGGAGGAATCCCCCACAGCCAGCGGCTTGTCGTGCACCAGCTGATCTAGCTCGACGTCTCTGGCACGCCTGGCCATGCTGCTAGGTGCCTAGGTGCTTCAAGCAAGGGACAAGGCATCTGAAGCTGCAATAAAACACAAAGTGGTTTGAGACAAGACGGTTATGTCAGGGGAGAGAAATGTAGGCCTGTGGGAGGTTATTGCTGCCTGCTGCTCACAGATGTTGATGGCATAGGACAGTGGTGGTGAGCATCCTACCATGAGCTTTTCTAGCACTGCTGCAAAAGCAGGAGGTTCTGCAAGGTCTGCACGAGCAGAGGAATCTCCAGGCTGTTCCAGGGCTCGGGTCAAGCCATCCCTTGTGTAACTTCCCTGGTGTCAGTGAACTTGTGCCAGGACCTTTCTGTGCTTGCTCAGGCTGTGATAGGAGTTCACCACCCCATTTTCATGACCAACCCCTTACCTCCTTACTATGAAAACACACTTTAAGCCACTGGTTACTTCCTAAATTGAGTAAAGTGGTAGAGAAAATCCTTTTTATCCCCCTCTAAGTTTTCCAGCTGAAGGAGATACTCTTCCTTCACATCAGATATTACTTAATCAAGACTAAGTACCATGTAAGCACCAGCCTTCCAGAGCTGGCTCCAGCTGCTAACAACATTGCCATCACGCGGTGCCCATGTGATGCTTTAAGCCCATGGAAAGCCCTGTTGCCCGACACAGGCCATGCTGCAGAGACTCAGCTGCCTGAGGAGGGAGCAGTGGGATTTCCTCCTCACTGGGCTTTGCATTGCCTGCTTCGAGTCATCCTAATTTGCCTTTAAGCTGCTATATAATATACCTTCAGCATCGGTTTCAGCAGCTTCAGTTGTCTCCTCTTCTACCTTCAAAATGAAAAGAGCCTTTTTAAGCCGAGCAAGAGCTGCTCTGTAAGAGAGCAGACTTTGCATCTCGATTGTTGCCCCGTATCTCCCTCACCCTCCCGCTGTCATTCTCCAGCCTCTCAGCTTGTTGTTCAGCACCACCATTCCAGGGTGAAAGCACCCCTCCCTTGGTGAACAGGTACTGCTGCTGTCTCAGGATCAGAGATGGTGATGTCCTGGTGGGAAACATTTCCAGGGCCCATTCCTCTCCCTGTTCCTCACCAGGACACCGCGTTCCTCCAGGCAAGCTGTGAGACCTTGGCAAACACCAGGCAGCAAGAGTTTATTGCAGACCTGAGCCCAGGCAGGGAGTGATGCTGTACCTGTATAAAAGCACCTTCGAGATCACTTATCTCAGCTTCTTCCAGCTGCTCAGTCCTGAAGGCCTCCTCTGCAAAGTAGACCTCCTCCACATCCTCCTCAGCAGTGAGACAAGGTGATAGGAGCAGGAGTCTGGAAGACATCAAGCAGAGACAAGTGCCCTCGCTTCTGCCTTTTCCAAGGTTGGGCATGTTGCAGATGGGGCATCCCATCCATGGGGTTGATGCGGGGTGCTCCCAGTTTTGGGGGGCACCATGGGCATCATTTGCAGGTGGACAATACCACAGAAATCTTCATTTAATACAAAGATGGTACTCAAAATATTGCTGCTTAGGTTAGGACTTGGAAAACATAGTACATGGGAGACCAGATGAGATGTGCATAAATAGTGCAGGGCATTGCAGATGCATCAGGAAAGATCACGTATGCAGAAAAGTACAGGCAGTATGTTCCTCCTGCTGTGCAGAATGATTTCTCATATAATGAAGATCTGCCACGTAAAAAGCTGAGAGCCTGATTTCAAGGCAGGACTGCCTTGCAAGCACCATCTGAACCCCAAGACTGCCTATGCAAGACACTACCAGGATACATAATCCTCATTTTCCTCCTGCAGCAAATGCAGACCACAGCTCCACCATTCTGCAAAGGGGGCTCACAAAGTAGATTTCAGCAGTTTAATACAACTGTAACTGAAAAAAAATCCCAAGCCTCATCACATTGTTCTGTGTGTTTATCTCCTGATGTGCTCTTCCCTGGAGAGAAATGCAAAGCAGGGATTGGGGATAATGAAAATATAGTAAGACAGCTAAATGCAGGAAAATTGAAAAACCCAAAGAAACATCTTCCTGCATCCTTTGCAGGCCCTAAATCAGAAGAGGTATGTAAACAAGCAGTGGCTCCTTTTCTCTTTTATCTCCATTGCCTTGAAAAGCTGTTATTTTCCAAGGTCTTTTTAAAATCATTTTTAATAATCCCCCTCCCCCTAATTTTTATTTAAATATGTTCCCTTCAAATGCAATCACAAGCCTTTTATCCTAACCTAGAAAACCAGCCAGTGTCTCTCTTTTCCCAAGAACAAACACAGCGAGGGATGGAGCAGCATCTCATTCACCCAGCAACTGAAGATCAAGCATCTCCAGTGGAGCTCTAGGAACAGATTATGAAGAAACATAAAGATACGGGTTTAACAATGACTAGTTGAGTGTTTTCAGCTCTTTCTGAGGAATTAACAGAGAATAATTTTGTAGCACTAGGTAACAAATCCCTAAATGTTTATCTCATCTGAAATCAAAGTGAACCACTAAACTAAGTGGAAAGGTTTTTTGAAATACCATCTAGACAAAAGTCACTACCTACAACCACTGGCAATAACTGGGCTGTTTTCTACAACAGAAAAAAACTGTAAACTTATACCTGCTTGTATCAGGAAGCATTTGCAGGCACAACACATAATCCTATCTTTAAATTCAGCTCCATAAACTCCATAATCATCCCGACTGCCCTAGACTAATGGATGTGCTTTTAAATCACATGGACCATCTCCAGGAGCTGGGTGCTCCCAAGGAAGGAACAAACCGAGTTCCTGCTCAGACCCATGGGAGGGGATATCTGGGGCTATGGTTGCTACAGGTGATGTAGACAGAGCCTGTGTCACCAGGAGACACTCGCCCAGCACCAGGTGCCGCATCAGCGGCAAGCCCAGAGCAAGCCTGTTGGTGAAGGCATCCCTCCTGAATGCTGAAAACAACCATCCTAATGCATCCATTCTGAACACATCCCTCCTGGATGCATCCCCCCTGAACACGTCCCTCCTGGATGCATCCCTCCTGACCGCATCTGTCCTAAACACATTCCTTCCGAACACACAGCTCCTGAATGCATCCTTCCTCTCAAACACATCCCTCCCTAACACACCCTTCCCAAACGCATCCCTCCTCCCAAACGCATCCCTCCTCCCAAACGCATCCCTCCTCCCAAACGCATCCCTCCTCCCAAATGCATCCCTCCGTAATTCATCCCTTCTGAAAACACATCTCCTGAATGCATCACTCCTCCCAAGAGCATCCTCAGTTCCCCCCCGAGGCTGGGTCACTTCCCTCATCCTCGGGTGTTTCAGCCTCTCCAGCTTGTGAATGCAGCTGAACAACTGCAGTCACGTTCATCCCAACAAAGCCATCAAGGCAACAGGAGCCACTTACCCTGCACTGTCCTTCAACTCCTCCTCCTTTTTCCCCTCCTCCTCCTCCTCTTCCTCCCCATCCTGCTCCGTTTCCTCTTCCCCCTCACCAGCACTCAGGGAGCACAACCACACCCTGGGAAAGAGAAACTCATTAGGCAAAATCCAAAAAGTGTGTCTGAACCTTGCAAGAGGAGCACTGCAGCCCAGACATGCAGTCCCTGCACCCACCAGGCAGCATCTGGGGGGTGGGCACAGCTGGGTACTCTGGGCATATAGCGCTCACAGCCTGTTAGTGTCTGCAGCCCAATGCTGGTGGGAGAAAGAATGAGAAAAAGTTTGGGAATGGAAAACCAGAGTCCTTGAGCTATTGAATTCCCCCTGCAGCATGGGGACAGGATATGCTTAGGGGTCACTTGTTGCTGGTTTTGACCAAAACCTCCCTGTATCAACACCAAAATCCACCCTCCAGCACAGGACATGCTGTAGTCCACAGCTTCACAAACTCCTATACTAAAGGGAAAGAAGTCTGAAAAACATCTTTATAACCTGTCCAGTGTTTCTTGGTCTTTCAGGAATTTATGGATTCCCAGGGCCTGCTAGACCCAAAGGAATCAGAGGGGAGAACCAGGCCTCCCTGGATTCCCAGGAACATCAGGAGTTTCAGGACCAAAAGACATTGAGGAGCCTCCTGTTAATCCTGTCCTGCCTGACCCACCTGGACCAGTAGGTGATACTGGTCGTCCTGGTCCTCGTGGTCCTTCAGGGGAGAAGGGACAGCCTGGCTGAGATGGTGACCCTGGACCAGCTGGTCAGAAGGGGGAACCAGAGCAGAAGTTCTGGCTTGTGCTTAGTGCAGTTGATCATTGCCCATGCTGGAGATGGAGACCACTGCATATCTTTCCCCACAAGTGCTCTAGGCTCTGGGAGCACTTAGGGGGCTCCCAAGCCCTTGGGAAGCATGCATGGCCACCTCTCATTCCCCTGCTGCAATGCAGCTTGATCCCAGATTTGAAAACATTGCCCAACCCTTGGAAGGAACTTGACAGGGTTTTGTTTTGGAAGAAGTAGGGTGAATTATATAGAGTTCTGTTTCCAAATGTCATGACAGTTGGATGCACAACTGATGGGAACAAGGTCCAAAATTTCAGCTCTTGGGCCCCCAGCGCAAAAGGCATATGGAGCTGTTGGAACAAGTCCAGAGGAGGCCACAAGGATGACCAGGGGCTGGATCTGCTCTGCCTGGAGCCAGGCTGAGAGAGCTGGGCTGGTTCAGCCTGGGGAAGAGAAGGCTCCTCAAGGGGAGACCTTAGAGCAGCTCCAGTGCCTAAAGGGGATACAAGAAACCTGGAGGGGGGCTTTGGAAAAGGGCCTGTAGGGACAGAACAAAGGGCAATGGCTTTAACCTGACAGAGGGGAGACTGAGATGAGCTCTTAGGCAGAAGTTCTTCCCTGTGAGGGTGCTGAGGCCCTGGCACAGGTTGCCCAGAGAAGCTGTGGCTGCCCCATCCCTGGCAGTGTTCAAGGCCAGGCTGAATGGGGCTTGGAATGACCTGCTCTAGTGGAAGGTGTCCCTGCCCATGGCAGGGGTTGGAACTGGTTGAGCTTTAAGGTCCCTTCCAACCCAAACCACGCTGCGAGTCTGTGATTCTATGATTTTAAGAGCATCCTTTAGCTGTCCTCTGCCGCGCAAAGTGAAGCATCGCATTCCCAGCTCTGTCACTGCCTGCCCCAACCCAAATCTCAGCACCAGAAGGAAAGGCCATTTGTTGAAACACCTTTTGGGTCCTTCTGATGCCCCTGTCTTTGGAAACAGGCACCTCAGCTGCCTGCTGTGAGCTCCACCACCAGTACTGGCAAGGAGGGATACCCAGGGATATGCTCATCCCCTCCCATGGCCATGATGCTGGTGGTCAGAAAGCATGTACAGCTGCCCATCAACAGCCTCTCCCTTTGCCTTCCTACCTATTTTCATCTTCCTGAGGTTCCTCCTGTATGGGGAGAAGGGAAGGAGTATCTGCCACCATCTCAGCCTCGGCATCCCAGGCCATCATCTCGCACATGGCTTCATTACTCCAGCCACCATCAATCTCTTCTAGGATGAGGTCTGTCTCCTTGGGTTCCTCAGGGACAATGTGTACTGAAAAAGGAATGGGGGAAGGCAGGTGATGAAGTGAGCAGTGCATTTTCAAGAGCCCAGTGGTAGAACCAGGGCAGATCCCATGTTTTCCCTCCTCAACCATGAGATGCTGGCACATGCCAGGACTGAAACACCTCTCAGTTCACACAGACCTGTGCAGCCCCAGTCCCTGGCATGTTACTGGAGAGGCTGCAAAGGGAAGAGCCCAGGCCTGACACATGACGAGCCCTCTACATGTCCCAGGGGTACCCCTGCTACCACATCAGGCACACAGCAAAGAGACAAGAGGAGGAAGCACATCGCTTACTGTAAAACCAGTTTATTTTGAGGTCTGCCTGAGAACAAAACTTACATATACACAGTGAAGCTCGTAGCAAATACACAAATTCAACTAGAGAAAGGTAGGAAACACACCTATGGCTGGCGCTGCACTGCATTTACCCACCCTACAGTGCCTATGCTGCCTTCAGCCTGTTCCCTCTAGATCCCCATTAATTAAAACACGGCACAGCAGTCAGGGAGATGACTTTCAAAACATGCCATAACTTTGGAGACATTATATGAAAATGGAGCAAACACTGATAGCCTGATATCAGCAGGGTTCATTATAAACACATAGGATGGATCTCAGGTTGGTTGTTGGCTCATTGTTACAGCTGCTTAGAGATGCAAAGAGATGGTGGGAAACCTTATTGTGGCCTTTCAGTGTAAATAGGGGGATTATACAAAAGATGGAGAAAACTTTTTACTAAGCTTTGAAGGAACAGGACAAGGGGGAAAGGCTTTAGCCTGACAGAGGGGAGATTGAGATGAGCTCTTAGACAGAAGCTCTTCCCTGTGAGGGTGCTGAGGCCCTGGCACAGGTTGCCCAGAGAAGCTGTGGCTGCCCCATCCCTGGCAGTGTTCAAGGCCAGGCTGGATGGGGCTTGGAGCAACCTGGTCTAGTGGGAGGTGTCCCTGCCTGTGGCAGGGAGTTGGAACTGGATCCTCCAACCCAAACACCATTCTGTGAGTCTAAGGTCTTTACTAAAACCCTGGGGTATAGGACTCTCACCCCATCCAGCCCAGAGGCCCTGCACATCTCTGGGCTGCCAGCAGCCCCGGGGATCCCTTCCCATGCCAGAACATTCTTGCTGCTTTGGTTAATGCTGCATCTGGGGAGCTGTGAGCTTCAGAAGCACCTGTAGTTGAGGGTAAGGACAGTCTGGGGTAAGTTCTCCTACAAGGAGAGCTCAGGAAAAGGTTTTTAACCCTACCTACACACCTGAAGATTAACCTCACCCACCTACACTGGTGGCTGCAAACCAGAGCCCTTTCCACTCACTGGGAGAAAACAGCTAGTTAATGGAAGAAAAGCAGTAAGAGGCTGATGAGAGCTTAAAGAGCTTTATGATGTGATACATCAGAGGCAGCCATCAACTAAAAGAAACCTGTGAGCTTCAGCTGGAGGTCTACGGGGTAGTGAGAGGACCAGGAGTGCTAGGAAGCTGCAGCAAGAGGCTTTCTGCCTCCAAGTGGTGCATTTCTACCTTCCTATAAACTATAGCTCCAGTCTCATATACATCATCCTGCAAAAACAATAGCTCTGGTTCCCAGAGCCAAGAGGGAGGGAAGATGGGACAGTCCTAGGACCAGGGACACACATCTAGCATCCCTGACCAGCCTCCGGTCCTGACACCCTGGCTGGGAAAGAGCTAGAGACCATTTGCTGATTGCCCTTTGCTTTTCCTCCCCAGCTGCACTCTCTCCTCGAGTTGGTCTCAATGGGTTGTGGGAAGGGCTGGCTGGCCATGGTCTTCATTTTCCATTTGTTTCAGAGGCACTAAGCCCCTTTGCCCCCTGAAACAAAAGGAGAAGGAAAACATTAATGAGCTTGCTGGCAGTTTGGGCAGATCTCCGGCTGACCAAATCTCTCCCTTCCTCGGGCACATCAAGATGCCTCAAAGCACCAAAGGGAGCTGAAAAACAGCCAGCTGCACACAGACGTGACTGCCCTCATATGCCCACTGGCTTTGCCTCTTCCCTAGGTAATGCTCTGGTCTCCAGTTTGTACAGATACATGGACAAATGCCTTCCCGCAGGATGTCCCACATGAGATTCCACCAAGCAGCTGCTGCCTCGGTGGGATCCACTTCATGACATATCCCTGGGGGGATGCACAGCCTCTTTCTGCCATGGCAGGTCCCTGCTCTCACCGGCAGCTCCCACAGCCCAGCCAAACATAGATTCCCTGGCAGCACTTGTACAGGCGTGTGGGACATCTCCCTTGCCCTGTGCATTCCTGGTGGCAGCCATGTCTCCTGCTTCTCCCAGCATCCCACAAGGCAGCTGGTGTGGAGAGCCAGCCCCATCTGCCTGCAGAACCTGCGCTCAATCCCCACTGCTTGCAGGCAAGTAGCAGTGAGAACCCTACAATGTTTTCCTACACTGTGCAGACTCACATCCAACAGCACTAATCACAGGATATTGTTTTCACAAATTATCTCCTTAGTCATCACAGGCTTGGCAAACACCCTCCAGTACAACAGCCATGCCAAAGGGAGTGATGAAGGCAGCAGGTTTGAATTTCCCTATAATGCTTTGATCAAATCCCAGCAGTTTAGCAATCATCTTCCAGCACATCTTGAGGACAGACATTGATATCAGCACTAGCCTCAAAACCTGGGGCCCAAGCACTAGGGATGCTGCACTCAGAGACTCCCACAGCCTGAGTTTTGCCAAGCCTGAGCCACAACCCTGGATTTGATCCCACTTCTCAAGCAGCAACAGCTCCTTATGGATTCCTGGGGGGATTTCAGGGATCTCTGGGCCCCTGAAATGGCAGCCATAGTAGACTGCAGGACAATAACCTTCACAATAACCTCAGCAAGCAAAGCAGCACAGTGGAGTAGAGCAATCACTTACTTTCTTCCACGGGACTCAGAGTTGCTGCATCCATTCCCTGCCAGGAGGAAAAGGGAAATATGAGAATTTTGGGTTTCAATAACTCCATTTTTTTTTTTCTCTAAACACCCCATTTTAAGTAAACATGGGCATTTTATGCTAAATATCCCATATGATTTCTTGGTGCACGTTGGTTAGCTTGGCCATGGGGACAAGCATCCTCACACATGATGGGAAATGGTAGGAGCACATCAGTGAGCTTGCCTTGGTGCAAAGGAAGGAAAGGATAGCATGCAAAGCCCCGGCTTCTCCTTAGAGCTGGACTGCAACCCAGTGAGGTGCCAGAACATGGGCACCACCCAGTGCTGCACGGGAAGGCAAGGAAACAGTAAAGAAAGCACAAACTGTGGGAGCTTTTGCTGCTGAGAAGCCAAATCCTGGTTTTCATTAACTAAGCGGGTTGTGGGGATTTGTTTTCTTGAATGAGCTATGGGACAGCCCAAACCACATCAGGTCCCTGCACTGATCTACTGGCATGTGTATGGCAGGGGACACCTTTCCTGCTGGGGACATGGTGTTCACATGCCCTCTGCCTATCCAGCCCAGGCTGTTCAGCCTGGAGAAGAGAAGGCTGTGTGGAGACCTCATAGCAGCCTTCCAGTATCTAAAGGGGGGCTATAGGGATGCTGGGGAGGGACTCTTCATTAGGGACTGTAGTGACAGGACAAGGGGTAACGGGTTAAAACTTAAACAGGGGAAATTTAGATTGGATCTAAGGAAGAAATTCTTTCCTGTTAGGGTGGTGAGGCACTGGAATGGGTTGCCCAGGGAAGTTGTGAATGCTCCATCTCTGGTGGTGTTCAAGGCCAGGTTGGACAGAGCCTTGGGTGACATGGTTGAGTGTGAGGTGTCCCTGCCCATGGCAGGGGGGTTAGAACTGGATGATCTTAAGGTCCTTTCCAACCCTAACTATTCTATGATTCTATACCTGTGCCTCCTGCTTCTCCCTTGTCACTGGCTGAGGCATCACCTTCTCCAGCCCCTGGACCAACCAGGCAAACACCCTGGTGACCAGAAACCACAGTTAGACCCAGCTGCTGGAACCTCTGCTCCCACAGCACTGTCCCGCTGGCCAGGTATCCACACAGAAGCTGCTGCTGCAGTTACCTGTTGCCATCTCCAGCCAGGGACCAAGGGACAAGGGTGGCCACTGGCTCGGGCTGCGTCTCAGCCACTGCTGGCTCCACTGCTGCCAGGGTGCTCTGGGTGGCTGGATCGTTGCTCTTTGGCTTTGCCTGGGGTTTAGTTCCTTTTGTGCCTGCTCAGGTTTATTGGGAAGGAGAAGGGGGACAGGCAATGCAGCAGTCATAAATCATTGGGGAAGGGGAGCAGGTGAGGAAGGGTCACCTCTCCCATGGAAGGACAGGCTTGGGGGACCTCCCTGAGAGCTTCTCCCCCAGGGATCCAGCCTGGAATGAGGACATGGGGTTTGGGGACAGAAGTGGTGTAGGGGTAGCGCTGTGATGCTGGGACCTGGTGTGCCCTCCCCTGGGGCACATGGACAGGGCAACTACAGGGACAGTGCCGGCCCGCACCCAGGTTCCAGAGTATATCCTCTGAAAGGGCACCCAGGGAACTCACCTCCCTCTGCTGCTTCACACTTCTGCTCCTTCAGCTCCGGCTGTAGAGGGAGAGAGGGACCAATGGACATGGCAAAGAGCTGGATGTGGCCCCACATCACCCTGGGTGGGCATGTCCCCTACCCCAAGGGGACCCATGTGCACAGCCCCACACACCCTCCACTGTACTTTTGTCCCCATTTCCTTGACAAAGACCATTAAGCCCAGACACCTGACTACTGGTACCAGCAGGTCCCAAATGGAGGGTCTCCCTGGATGCAGTCAGGCTGAGGAGCAGCAGGATGAACCCCAAGGCCTCTTTTTTGCTCTGCTCAATTTCCCATGGGTTTTCTTCTCCAGGGTCCCATCCACGGCATGTGGGATGAAGACAGGAAGCCCACTCCACTGTCACATCTGCCCAGCAGCCCCGCAGCCTCCTGCACTGTGCAGTGCTCACCTCCAGCTTCTTCAGCACCTCTGGCTGTGGCACCATCCTCTCAAAGCCCTGCACCAGCCAGTTGAGCACCCGCACTCCTGCCCTGCCAGAGGGGAGAGCAGCCATGGTTGGGGAGCTCATCCCATGCACCCCCTGCATTCCCCCAACAGCCAGCCCAGGGACCCACCACTCCGTGGTGGCAGAATCCGAGCCAGGATCCGGCTCACAGTCATCCAGCTTGTCATCTTCCGGATCGAAGGGGATTATCTCTGCAAGGAGAGCAGTGCCATGGGCACAGGGGAGAGCCAGGACCTGCAGTGCCAGGAGCTGCTGGTTTCCCCATCAGCTGGCGCAAGGGGACAGTAGTGTCAGCATCACTGACTGGGGAGGTGGGATGTGGGAGCCCCAGAATGGCACCTGGGATGCTGCAAACTGCAGGCTCTTGACTCTCCTTACCCAGAGCTTCCTCTTCCTCGTCCTTGAGGATCTGGACCTCTGTCTGAAAAGCCAAACAGACCATCATCCCCTGGCAGCCAAGGTGGGCTCATCCCAAAAGGGATGAAGGCCACGCAGGGCAGGTTTAATGCTCCCAGTTAGCATTAGAGAGTGATGGGAAGGAGAAATAAGAAGAAGAAAAGGTAAAAAGAGCTAGAAGCCCCAATATGCCAGACAGTTGCCTGGATCTGTCACCTACCTGATCAGGAACATCAATGCTTGTCTCGAAGCTCTTCCCAACTGCCTGCAGTGTCCCTGGGGCTGGGACTGGCTGGGGAATCACCTTCTCCAGTCCCTGGGAGAGCCAGGACAGCACATTGCTCCCCATGCTGCCAGGGAAGGGGCAAGTCAGGCTGAGAACCTTCATCCCAGGCATCCAGCCCCAAAACTGAAAGCAAAATCCCAAGCAAGCCATGCTGCACACTGGAGGATGCAATGGCAGTACCTCTCAAATACAGAGCCTTGGTCCTCAGGGACTGCAAATCCCACCTTCTTGTCCATTTCTTAATGGCAGCAGGAAAAAAAAACAAAATGAAAGCTCTCATCACCATTCCAGCAGCCCCTGGGATGCCAGCCAGGAGGGATCCATCCAGCAAAGGAATGCTGATCCCCTGCCCAAACCACCGTGTTCCCCTGCATGGGGCCTTACCTTCAGTGCGTGCGCAGTCAGCAGCATTCCTGGGGCCATCAGCCTTCCCTGTTGGTGCCTTCAAGGTGAAAGGCAGAAGGTATCAGAAAAAAAGGAAAGGAGACAGTGTCCCCTGGTCAAAGGTAGCTGCAAACCTCAGGGACTCCCCATACTTTCTGCTGCAGAGTGGGGATGCATCCTGGCCCTCATCCCTTCTGTGGATGCTGCAGAAGCACCAGGCATCTCTCCACCATGCCCACAGGATGCCTGCTACATCCCAGACTTGGATCCCCACTTACCTTAGGTGGCTCCAGGTCCTGCTCTGGAGCTGGAGTTGGAGGGATCTCCTCCACCAGATGAGCAACTGGGGGCTGGGGCACCACCCGCTCGATCCAGCTCAGCATCCTGCTGGGCAGCAAGGAGGGGTTTCCAGCAGTGAGAGGCCAGCAGCAGTCTGCAAGTCCTGCTTGGGAAAGGTGGCACTGCAGTACAGCCAGACCTGCATCAAAAGAAGCGTGACCAGCAGGTCGAAGGTGGTGATCCTGCCCCTCTACTCTGCTCTGTGAGACCCCATTTGGAGTACTGTGTGCAGTTCTGGTGTCCTCAATGTAAGAAGGACATGAAGCTATTGGAACAAGCCCAGAGGATGCCACAAGGATGATCAGGGCCTGCAGCAACTTCTATATGAAGACAGGCTGAGAAAGTTGGGACTGCAGTGACTAGAACAAGGGGTGATGGGTTTAAAATGAAACAGGGGAGATTTAGGTTGGATAAAAGGAAGAAGTTCTTCCCTGTGAGGGTGGTGAGGCCCTGGCACAGGTTGCCCAGAGAAGCTGTGGCTGCCCCATCCCTGGCAGTGTTCAAGGCCAGGTTGGATGGAGCTTGGAACAATCTCCTCTAGTGGAATGTTTCCCTGCTCGTGACAGGGGGTAGAACTGTATGATCTTCAAGGTCCTTTCTAACCCAAACCAGTCTGTGAGTCTATGATTCAACCTTGATCCCTCACCGCTACTGTGAAAAAAACGTACGCTCAATCTTAATCTCACAGGCTGTTCCTAAATGTAACCGTTCACTTAGGGTTGTTTTTCCACAGCCCTCCACAGCTGGCGTCACACAAGAAGTGCTCATGAAGCCGCAGCTGATCACAGAAAGAGTGATGCTCTGCTCAGGGTCCTCCATGCTCCCCTTCTTTCATTTGAAGGATGAAAAGCAACAGTAATTCGAGCAGAATTTGTTTAGGAGCAAGTTCCAATATGTGCATCAACTCTGCTTCTCACCTTTCAGCCATGGCCCAGAGACATGGTGGCTGCTGGGGCAGGAAAAGAGCAGGAGGGGCAGCCAGCTACAGTGCTGGGGCTGCTGTGGTGTTGATGTGGTAGGTAAAACTAAGATGCTGCAGAGCAGGGTTTCAGCTGTCCAAGCTCTGCTTGCTTGGCCTTTCTGGGTCTCCTGCACCTCTTCTCCATGCAGCTCTGGTCTGGGATGCAGCATGAGTGAGCAGAGTGATGCTGCATATTGGGTACAGGACTCTGACTGGCTGAAATAGGGGATGTTTGCTGCTGCTGCCCCTCCAAAAGCCATGCTTAGCCCAAAATGCCTCCCAGAATCATGCCACTCTACTCAGTAAGTGGCTCAGGAACATTCTTGGGCTGCCTCCACACTGCTGCCCATAGGAGATGCCAGTGAAGGGCAAGAGAAAGCAGGTCCCTGAGCTCCATCTACAGCCACGAGACTGCATGGGAGTTTTCATCCCGGGTTAACACATGATGCCAGTCCCACATACCCAGCAGGCTGATGGCTGGAAGCTGCTCAGTGCTTGGCTTTTTGCATTAACCCCTCACTCAGCATTTCAGGCATGCAGAAAACCTTCAGATCCCTTGAGGTGTTTCACTGGGGGCTTCCCAAAGCCTGGCATTTGAAATCCTAATGAGCTGTTGTTCCCAGGCTCATGTATGATGTATGAGCTGATGTACAGCTCTTTGCTTGCCCCCACCTTGTGCAGGGCCTGGAGCTGGGTAGGGATGCATCCAAAGCATTGCCTCATGTGGCACCTCTAGCCCCTGGCACAGCACGGGCAGGCTCAGCTCTACCAGAGACCCCCACATCACCAGAGCAGGGTGGCTGTAAAACACCTCCCAGGAAGGCTGATGACCAGAAATCAATTAACAACTTGCCTTTTACCTCTCACCGGGTACAAGGGATCAAGGAGCTGTCCTAGGAACTGCAAAGAAAACCCAGCAGTGACACGTGGCACAGCAGCACTTCTATCTATGTTTTGGGACCTTCACAGATCCCAGAGAAGCCCAAACAAGTGCAGAGAAAACCCCCTTCTCTCAACATAAAGTTGTGCAGCTGTAAAAGCCTGAGGCTTAAGCTTGTCATTGGCCTGGGGAGGAAAGTGGGGGACTGGTGCTGTTCCTCTGGCACACCCCAACAGAGGGGCAGGAACATTTGTGGGTCCCCAGAAAACTAATTGCTGGAAGAAACAGGAATGAGCAGCTAGAATTTGTCTGTGCTGGCACTGAAGAGCAGCAGCCACACGCAATACCCCGTGTTGCGGGCACTGGCACATGCCACTGCCTGCGTACAGCTCCATGGGTGAAGGGCTTTAGTCACCAGCACAAGCAGCACGTAGACCTGCCATCCTCACTCGGAGCAGGGAGTACCATGGCCTTTCCCTCCCCTCCGGTAGCAGATCAAACCCATCCACATTTACCCCACTCCATCACCCTCACAGCATCATTCCCCACAGACCCATCTCCCTGCCACAGCTCATCCTCCAGTTCCATTTCAGAGCACTGACCCCACTGTGATGTGTGACCCTGCAGAAACCCCAGCCATGTCCCTCACCTCCATCATTGTCACTTACCCCACTCACTTGCTGCTGCCTCCCGGGAAGCCACTGTTGGGGTCTACAGGCTCCTTGGCCACTGCAGCTCACTGCTGACCCCCCAAGCCCACCCCAATCCTCTCAGGGCTCTGCGAGGATTAGCTCAGCACTCCCTGCAAATGGGATTACTAGCACGCAGCTGTCTTGAATGCCCCAGCTCCCAGCAGCCAGCCTGGCTTCAGTGAAGGATAGTGCAAAGAAAAGCCAAAATTCAAGCAGGTTTGAGCATCCTCCACATTGCTGGAGCCACAAAACCTACCTCAGACACTCTCCAGCTCAGTGCAAGCCCATCAGTGCTGTGGGGACACTGCCACCTCGCCCAGGGCCAGCTGCATGCAGGCATGCACAGATGAGCTGCAGTGAGGCTGCTGAAACTCTGTGGGGTGATGCAAGGGTGATGTGCCCCAGGATGCTGAACTCGCTGCTCTGCACTAACCCCAGCATGGTGGCAGGAGGTAGAAGCGCCAGGCTGAGCTAAGCCTCCGCTTGCTGAGCCTGCCAATTGCTGCTTGATCCGTTTACCTCCAGCCCTGCTGACTGCCAGCCTTTCCCATTGCCCTAATCCCAGCCACGGTCATACCCTGGAATCCTGGTTCTGGCACAGCTTTTCTGCTCAACATCCAGCCGCAGGCTGGCCAGAGCCCCCTGACCTGATTCCTCCTTCCTCAGCACAGCTGGAGTCCCCATCCTAGTGAGCAACAGATCACCTTCCTGCCTGGCCCCAGCCTGGCACCTCTGCAGCTCTGATTCACAGCTAGGGAAACTGAAGCACACAGCAGAGGTCCAGGCACTTTGCACCTCATTCCCCACCTCTCAGGCCTGGGGAAGCAGTCTGAAAGGCACCACTGTATTCTTAAAATACTGCTCACTCCGAAGCAGAGTGATGACTGCTTATAGGTCAGCATTGAACACTGACTTTTCCAGCAGAAACACAGATCAAAGGTGCATGCTGTGTTCTCCCAAGCCTCGTGGCTCCCAAAGCCATCACCCAGCCTCAGCTCCCTGAACTTTGCTCCCCATGGCTCTGGCCAGCAGAGCTGCTCCTGCCCGGCAGGAATCGGCAGCAAACCCCATGGTGGCCAGAAGATGAACACAGGGCTCTTATGCTAGGCCAGGCAGCTTGGATCCACACAGTTTCCCCCTCCTCACTCTCCTGAATGGTAGACTCAGACCCCAGTCTAGGGCTGGCAGAGTTTAATTCGTCAGCAACTTTAGCTGCCCCAGTTGCCCACCTCCAGGCTGGGGGCAAACCCTCTGCTCTGCACTGCGGGATGGACGCTGATCCCACACCAGCACTGGGGGAGGCACGGGAGCCTCAGCTCTAACAAGTAGGACACTGGGGCTGCTGTGGAATGCCTTGAAAACCCCGTATCACCGTGAAAAAACCCACCTGTGAAGGGAGCTGGCTGGGCTGGCCCTGAAAGCACCACATGCAAGCTCCTGGGCAGCATCAAAGACTCCTGGACAGGCATGGTGTTAAATGGACTTGCTGCCCCTCTTGCAGGACCAGTGATGCAAGTGACACAAGATCAACCCAGAAGCCCTCACGGCACAGCCTGGCCCAGGTTCCACCTTGCAGGGTGCTGTGGAGGTTCCACCTGAGAAGACAGTGCTGCCTAAAAGAGCAAAGCAACACATAGGCCGCTTCAAGTTAACTTCTGCAGGCTCAGGCTTATGAAATCCTGCAGTAAGGGGTTCAAAAAAACCTGCATCCCCTCCAAGAGCAAAGATGCAAGTGAATACCCGAGAGGAATACCTGGAGAACAAGGGGAAGGTTCTGCTGCTTACCTGGGCAATACTGCCAGCTCTCCTGGCATGTTTGCCAAACTATTTTCCACTCACTTTTGCTGCCTTTCATTTTCATCCTTGGCTTTCACATTGGTGGGGTAAGGCAGAAGGGACCGATTACAGTAACTACATGGAAAAAAGATACCAAGTAGGTAAGTAAGGTCTTCTGGAAAAGGAACCAGATCTTAAAGGGCCAGTGCTGAGAGGATGCTGCTCCCACCAGAAGCTCCTGGTCCTCCCTGAGCCAGAGCCTGGGCTCTAGCATGTGCAAGGATTACCTGCTTTGCTGTGATTCAGGGAAATCAAAGATGAGACATTAAAAGCCTGTGCATAGCAGGTGGTGGTGCTGATGTCTTTTGCTTGCCTACCCTGAGGATACAGAGTGTTTCCTCAAACCACAAGGTTCAAATACAGGCACTGGCTTGGGACTATCAGCTGCTGTTCAACTCTTCATCTTCCCATAGAAATCATCCAGCTGGGAGTAAGAAATTAGGGCAGCTGGGAAACATAACATCCTTTCTTTTAAGAAGGACATGGAGCTGTTTGAGCAAGTACAGAGGGGCCACAAGGATGATCAGTAGCTGGAGCACCTCCCGTTTTAAGACTGGCTGAGGAAGTTGGTGCTGCTCAGCCTGGAGAAGAGAAGGCTGTGTTTAGTTTAAACTTCAACAGGGGAAGTTCAGGTTAGATATAAGCAAGAGGGTGAGGCACTGTAAGGGTGGTGAGGCCCTGGCACAGGCTGCCCAGAGAAGCTGTGGTTGCCCCATCCC